ATCACTCCGAAAGTAATGCCTCCTATTTATTTCCATGGAAACTACAACAGGTACAAGCACAGTAACTCTGCTTAGAGCAAATTCTCAGCTTCAAAACACTATTTTTCAACATAGTTGCAACCATGAGCTAAGCATTTTTTGCCAGCAATGAACAAGGGCCTACATGCCACACTCATCAAAACCTGCAGCAGCAGAGGTGACCCACTGTCACCAGGGATGCCAGTATGACCAGCCACGTCCACACCAGCTAACTGCAGCCTGTCTTGATGCATGGGGTGATTTCAGCTCAGTTGCAAGACTTTCATTTTCCTTTGGCAAATGCTGTAAGTTTCCCTACAGCCTATTTCTCTGGCTTGTCAAGGTCCTCCTGAGTGGTAGCTCTACCCTCAACTCCGTTGACCACTCATCCCCATTTGATGTTGTCTGCAAATGTGCTGAGCGTGCCTTCTGGCATATTGTCCAGGTACCTTTAAAAAGAAAGTGAGCAGAAGCCACAGCCCTTCCTTTATTCATCATTTTGGGCGAGCAAGACTTAAAAGATGCAGGTAAGAAAGCTAACTTTGCTTTTCGGTTTCCTTCCTTGTATTTGTCCCCTGTGTATACTTAAATTTGTTTCACTACAATCTATAAAGTCTATTTTCCTCTTTTTATGCTGCGCTAGGGGGGATATAAATGGACTAGCACCCTTTTTTTAAAGCTTATGCACATTCTTATTTTCTTTTCTGGATTTTTAAATGGATATTCACATGGCTTTGACCAAACTGCAGTCTTGCAAATAACTGCAAGGCCAAACTGCCTGCAGGTAATTTTTAGTACCCTCAGAGGAATGCAGTTAACTTCAACTCATCTCCAGTCTGATTCGGTGCTTTTTGAAGTAGGCCTTTGGTGAGTGAAAAGGAAGACTATGAGGGTTTTATTATAGTTGGCTTTCCTTACTGCATTAGCGTTTATATTTTCCCAGTAGAAATCCCCAAATTGAAAATATAGAGGTGTCAGCTAGCACCACTTTAGTTAAGGTTGTGTCAACATTTCCTATAAACTTTGTTTTTCTAGGGTTTATAACTAGACCGTAAAAACGTGTCGGCACTGAAACTTGGCATAGCACTGCTCAGCCTGGGAGAGAATTCTCACAATTAAAAAATAAGAAAGTCAGATCAGCTGTTTTTAACTAATATCCATGTAATTAAGTGGAAATTGGTTCAGATACATTGTTCTTCAGAAAAATTCAAGGCAAGCTTTTACTTAAAAGCTAAAACCATCTGGGGGCAATTCCACTCATGTTGTCTTGTTGCACTTGGTAATTCTGAAAAGTCAAAATGATTGAGATATTGCACACTACAAAATGATGACTATATCTGCAAATACTAGTTTGTACAAAGTTCTTTGCTACATGTAAGGAAATATTTTTAATAGGCAGAGCTAATAGTACATAATATGAAGTGTGCCCAAAATTTCCCATTATAAAAGCTCATGTTCAGACACTGCCAAACTTCAACCTTTGGAGCTGGTATTTTATATACTAGATGTATGCCTAAGGCTGGATTTTTGGGGAAAAAAAACCTTAGGCCAAAGTCTTTATCAGATTCTTAGAATGAGGATTGATGTGGTTTTGTTCATACTACACAAAAAAAAAAAAAAAAAAAAAAAAAAGAAAGAAAGAAAAGAAAGCTAACAGTCTGCTTTTCAGAAAGGTCTGAATCTCTTCCCTTCCCTTCCCTTCCCTTCCCTTCCCTTCCCTTCCCTTCCCTTCCCTTCCCTTCCCTTCCCTTCCCTTCCCTTCCCTTCTCTTCCCTTCCCTTCCCTTCTCTTCTTTTCGAGCAAATAGTGGAACAATAGCAGAGTGAAAGACCTAACAGAAACCCTTCTTTGGGACTGAGCTGTATAAGCTGGAAATACTGCATATCCCAATTAAATACAAGCAGGCTCTGTTTCAGTAAGCAAGTAGTGTATCACAGCAACACCTGAGGGTGCTGCTTTGATCACAGCCTGTCAGCAATTCCACTGAGCACTTTGTTTATTAGAGGCTGGCTGAAGAAGATCCATGTATGCTGAAATTTAAGTGCAAACAGTGACAGTCAGCAGTAAAGGGAATCAGGGTAATAGCATCTCACAGAACAGTACTCCTCTGTGGTATTTTTGTTTTAAAATCTGAGGGTTTTTTCATTCCTGAAAACTAAAGTTTATATATCATCTCACAAGTGCATTAATCCTTACTGTGTACTGGAGAAGAAAATCAAACATCTGAATTATTAAGAGAGGTGCCTGAATGGCTGGAAAACTACTCATCAAATTTTCATCCATTAATTTTGTACAGTTTTCAGGACACAAATGAAGCGTTCCTCATCCTGTCTTCCTACAGGACTCTAAGGTGGTTACACCACATCTAGCTGGCATAGAAGGCCGGGTGGGGGAGAGAAGAGAAAGGAAGTGTCACATCCTCTGCTGTGAATAGCCAACACGCTAGCAGCCACGCTGTGATGAATGCTTAAATCCTTCCTCTGCCTGCTTTGGAGCAGGGGCCTGGGATAAGGCCCTTCTGCGGTGTGCCTTAATCAGCAGGTCTCACTGCCCGGGTCTCTTTCAGGCTTCCCAGCTGAAACGGCTCTGCTTTGTACAAACTAATTAACTATTCAGAGGATTGGAGTGAAAAGGGATCTGTGGCTTGGGGTGGGGGTGCACATCCAGAAGGCCTGTTTCTAGTCTGCTGCCATGAATATTTAATCACTTTGTACAGAGGGGAAGAGTTTCAAAAGGAATCCCTGAAATTTCTGGCTCGGCAGCTTGGGTATTTAACGGAAAAGAGAGAGCCTTGGGTTGGAGCCCCTTTTCAGTATTAGGCAGCATATGGGATTCACAAGTAAAACCTCGAGAAATGCTTTGACCACTTTGCTCTTCACATAATTTCAGAGCCCACGTGTGAGATGCGGCATTCACAGGTAGGTACCAATCGCAGGTACTCAGCTGAGTGGAAGAAGGCCTGTCTGCCCACCCAAGTTAGCTCTGCAGTACATCTCCTGCAGACCTGTGCAGTACTGCCAGGCTTCCCTTGCTGGTACCGCAGCACTGCAATTCCCTCCAGCACGAGGAGAGCAAGGTACTCACCTAGCTGTGCATTGCGTAATAGACAGAGAGGAGAAAAATTTCAGCACTGCAATGTCACTGTAATTAAGTGCCTCCGAGACTTTTTGCTTTGGGGCTGTCATTTAGTAATGTAGTTTTGCACCTACCTGACAAGAGTTTAGCTATTGCCTTTGGCAGCAGCAAGATTTTTTCCTTCCTTCTGGACATGCATTGCCTGCAGAGAGCACAGGATCTGAGTGGGTCTCCTCGGGTCAGCATAGGAACACAGTGCTGGTTGGCTTGTGTTGCAGTATTCTTCATACTGTATTTCTCCTTAAGAGCACCCAGGATTCTTTGTCACTGCGCTACATGTATGAATAAAGAAATCTGCTTGTAGGTGTTTTGTCTGTTGCTCTGGGATCAGAGCAACCTTCCCTGTATATTTTTACAACTGCATAGGAAGGGTAGCCATGTATCATAGAATCATAGAATGGTTTGGGTTGGAAGAGACCTTTAAGATCATCTAGTTCCAACCCCCTGCTATAGGCAGAGACACTTTCCTCTAGAGCAGGTTGCTCACAGCCCCATCCAACCTGACCTTGAACACCTGTAGGGTGGGGCATCCACAACCTCTTTGGGCAACCTGTTCCAGTTTCTCACCACCCACAGTAAATAACTTCTTCCTGGTATTTAGTCTAAGTCCACTCTCTTCCAGTTTAAAGCTATTCCCCTCATCCTGATGCTACATGCCCTTATGAAAAGATCCTCCCCAGCTTTCCTGCAGGCCCCCTTAGAATCATAGAATCATAGAATCACCAAGGTTGGAAAAGACCTAAAAGATCATCTAGTCCAACAATTACCAAAAGCTCCCACTAAACCATGTCCCTCAACACAACATCCAGCCTTTCCTTGAATACCCCCAGGGTCGGTGACTCCACCATCTCCCTGGGCAGTCCATTCCAGTGCCTGACCACCCTTACTGAAAAGTAATACTTCCTAATGTCCAGGTATCCCTTCAGGTATTGGGAGGCCTCTGTAAGGTCTCCTTGGAGCCTTCTCTTCTCCAGGCTGAAAAGCGCCAGCTCTCTCAGCCTGTCCTCATAGTGGAGGTGCTCCAGCCTTCTGATCATCTTTGTCCCCTCCTCTGGACCCGCTCCAACAGCATAATGTCCTTAGGTGGGGGTACCAGAATTGGACACAGTCCTCTAGATGGGGTCCTCATGAGAACAGAGCAGAGGGACAGAATCATCTCCCTTGACCTGCTGATCATACTTCTCTTGATGCACCCCAGGATACGGTTGGCCTTCTGGGCTGCAAGAGCACACTGCCAGCTCATGTAGAGTCTTTCATCAACTGAAATTGATGAAAATCCTTCTCCTCGGGGCTGTGCTCAAGCCATTCTCCACCCAGTCTGTATCTGTACTTGGGACCGCCCCAACCCAGGTGCAGGACCTTGCACTTGGCCTTGGTGAACTTCATGTTGTTGGCATGGGTGCATTCCTCAGGTCCAGGTCCCTCTGGATGGTATCCCTTCCTTCCCGTGTGTCATTTGCACCACAGCCTGCTGTCTGCAAACTTGCTGAGGGTGCACTTGATCCCACTTTCCATATTGCCTACAGAGTTCTAAATAATGCCATCCCAGCACCGATCCCTGAGGAATGCCACTCGTCAGGAGTTACAGACTGCATCACTTCCACCTGTATCTTTACCTAAATGTGATATACGTATCTGTATCAATTAAACTGTAGTGTTTACAGCCTAGAAATGATTATTTATTGACCTAATAAAGCTTTCCTCCCCAGCACCCCGCCAAACTTCGCTTATCTGATCACTGCAGTAATTAAACAAGAAGTTCATTATGGATGTCCTGGATTCAGAGAAATGCCTACAGACACGCTTAACTTTCTGAGCGAAGTCCCTCCCCTACCCAGTAACACGATTTCAGCGAAGCACAGCGGCTGAACCGGGCCCCACATCGCGACGCCGGTGCTTCCCTGCCGCCCACCAGCACTGCCTGGAGGCACCGGTTCGGGACCGCAGCTCTCCGCAAAGCCGAAGCCGCGGTCCCGCTTGCAGCGCAGCCCCGGAGCGGAGCGGCCCTGCCCCCCGCGCAGATGTCCCGCCTGGCCGGCCCGCTCCGCCGCCGCACGGGAGACGCCGCTCGGGAAATCTGCCGCCGTCGGCAGAAGACAAAACCGCCGGCAAGCCGTCGGCCGGCGATGAAAGGAGCGGGAGAGCGGGAGCGGCCCCGCAGAGGCCCCTCCGGAACAATGGCGGTCCCTCAGGAGCCCGCGGCCGAGCGCTGCTGACAAAGGCGCTGGCTGCACCGGGCCGCAGCTGCTGCTTCGCGGCACGGCGAGGGAGCGCGCGTTACTTTCATCCAAATCCTCTTAGGCGGTGTGACCGCCAGCAGCGGGCAGCGCTCACGCTCCGCGCCGATCCGAGCGCAGAGGGGCGAGTTCCGTGCGGCGCCTCGCGCGGTGACTGTGGGGATGGAGCTGGGAGCGGGGCGGCGGAGGGGCGCGTGACGGAGCGCGGTGCTGTGCCGGGAAGACGCTGAACTTCTCGTGTGCTGAGGAGCCAGATGAGCAGCACAAGTCATTAGTCACCCAGGTATTTACAGTGTTTTTCCTATTTCCTTTCTCCCATGGCCTCTGTGGTCAGAGGTATAAAATTCCTAGGCACTCCCACCTAAACACAAGTTTCCTGTTTATGCTCTCAGTGGCTTTTATGTTTAGCTGTTAAAACCCGTTGTCTAAAGTACCATAAAACAATACGAACAGAGTCTGCAGGTGAGCAACTGGGGGAAAAAAAGGATAGAGCGGAGAAAATGAAAGGCACCAAGTTGGAGCTGTGCAGGTCTGGCTGCGACGGGTAGGAGGGACACAGCAGTGTGTGCACATAGCAGTGTGAACACAGCACTGTGTGCACATAGCAGTGTGTGCACATAGCAGTGTGTGCACATAGCAGTGTGAACACAGCACTGTGTGCACATAGCAGTGTGAACACAGCACTGTGTGCACATAGCAGTGTGTGCGCATAGCAGTGTGAACACAGCACTGTGTGCACATAGCAGTGTGTGAACATAGCAGTGTGAACACAGCACTGTGTGCACATAGCAGTGTGTGAACATAGCAGTGTGTGCACATAGCAGTGTGTGCACATAGCAGTGTGTGCACATAGCAGTGTGAACACAGCACTGTGTGCACATAGCAGTGTGTGCACATAGCAGTGTGTGAACATAGCAGTGTGTGCACATAGCAGTGTGTGCACATAGCAGTGTGTGCACATAGCAGTGTGAACACAGCACTGTGTGCACATAGCAGTGTGTGCACATAGCAGTGTGTGTTGTTTAGAGAAGGCCGTTTCCAAGTCATGCTGCCATCACAACAGCCGTAGGAACGTCGAACGTAGAATCGCCAAGGTTGGAAAAGACCTCCGGTCCAACTGCACACCCACCACCAATATTTCCCTGCTAAACCATGTCCCATAGAGTAGCACCTAAATGTTAAACCGGTTGTAGATGTGCTGTGGTGAGCATGAGTGGTTGATAGCACTGAATCCATCAAACTTCTGGTGCTCACCGTATACATTCAGGCGGCTCTCATTGGAGCTTTCAGGCTCATTTTATCAGAATATGTGTGTAACAAGGTGATAGCACAGCTCATTGACTCATTTTTACTTTCCCTCAGTTATGCTGAGTATAAACATAGCATTCTCATTGGCTTGTATTACTATAGAATTAAAGAATAATCGTAGCAGTTCAAACCAGACCTCAACCTACCAGAAAATTCATGCTTTGGACTAACATGGTTTCTGTGACAAGCTTTTGTTCATAACACTGTGATGTAAGGGCAAAGTGTCAATATTGTCTTTGAATATTTGATTGATTTGGCTGACCAGACACTTACAGCCATTTAAACACGGTTTTGTGTATTTAATTATATCATACATGATGTCATTTTTCACTACTGACACCTTTGACATTTAATTTATTTCAGCCAATAATTGCTAAACAATAATTAAGCTTTTACTACTGTAACTGCTTGTCATGATCCTTGTATCCTGCCAAACAGGTGACAGCAGGAGCAGCAAAGTTTATGTTTCATATATTTATTTGCTTTCAGATATTCAGATTTATTTGCTTTCAGCTTAAACATCAGTAATTTTGCAGAGTTTCTGTGTCCAAAGGAAGGACTGGGACCAAAGCATCACATTAAAGCATCTCTGCATTCCCTTACAGAGATTAGAGTAGTAGAATGGATTAATGTGTTAGAAATCACAACATATATGGGGAGAATATTTTATGTATATATATATGAAATATATTACATATATCTTATAGATGTATATATATCAAATATAAATTTTTATATTTATGCAGTGAGGTTTCTAAAATGTCTGGAAGAGCTTCATATACAGTAACTGTGGTGTCTTTTAGACATCTCTGCTTTTATACTGGCAACTCTCTCATATGAGTGGTATCTCACTTCAAATTTTTTTTCTAAATAGTTATAGGGCACAGATGATCTTTTTCCCGAGCATTATTAGGTTTTCTGTGCATGGTGCACAGTGGAGCACTGGCTGTTGTTTGTTAGTTCATGTTGAAGGTTTGATTTTTCACTATTCTGAGCCTATGGAGCCCTTCAGCAGCTTCCCCATTTAAACAACGTGCTACCTGGAGTGTGGCGTGGACTAAATACTTGTTTGTGGCTGGAGTGCACCCAGTGGGCTCCTGAAGCACATTTTCAAGTGCGTGTTTTGTCTGAAAGGCGACGGGCTCATCTTTTCCAGGTGTGCTCCACAATTCAAAGCAGAGCGCAGTAAGTGGGAACAACTGGGAGATTTGCTTTGAAGGTGGGTTCCTGATCCAAAATAAGTATCATTGATGCACCAAAGTATTCAGGCTTGGACCTACACATCACAGTGCTTTCAGATCCTCCATTTAAGGATCACAACAGCATGTTTCCAAATCTCAGCTTGCGATAACTTCATCAGAGCCCTGATGAAACAAGTTCTTTCCCTGTCTTCCCACAGTCCTCCCAGTCCCCAGCTGGCATTCCTCTCCGCCACTGCAGAAAATAGAAAGAAAATAGTGTATTTGTGAGCACTTCTCTGGGCTGGCTGTCAATAGAAAACAAACATAGACTCTGCAGACCAAGCTAATTCATAGATGAAATGAAACATTACAGAAAGCGAGAGAGGAAAAGAGGAAAGAGACAGGAAATCTTTTAAAAAGTCAACAAAAAGGAAATACTTGAATATAGTCTTGATTCAGCAAATCCCTTTGGTTTCACACTCAACATCACGGCAAAGGCACCAGCACCTGGGCCCCGTGTAGGCAGAAGGTGGCCGGGAAGTGACTCACTGTCACAGGAATAGTGAGAGGAAGTCTCAGAACATGGGTGTGGGGGTTTCTGCAGGGAAAAGAAGGTCTCTCAGCTCACACAAGGTTACAAAACTCCATATGTGCAGCAGGGCCAGCTCTGGGTATTTTCAAGCTAGTATTTTCAAGAAGCAGTGCTACGAACATCCGACCGGCAGTAACGTTCTAACAGCAGCTGAGAAAGTAGGAAGGGAAAAGGCTGCTTTAAGACAAGCAATCAGAAACCTGTTGAATTTGTAATTTTACCAACTTTTGCCAAGCCCAGAGCAGACCTGACCACTGGGTGGGTCTTCTGCAGTGAGACACAGAGTCAGGCAGACACCAATGGGGTGCCCAGGGCAGGAGTGGCTCGAGCTGACAGTCGCAAACTTTTCAGCAGATGTGGACCATTTTCTCCTTCCAGGTGGGAGTCAGACAAAACTCTGTGGCTTTTTCTGTTTCTCTGAAAATCCTGCAACGAAGCCTAGCTCAGCAGTTTGAGAGAAACTTGGCTCCGTCCCTGTGAATTTAATAGAGAACAAATCCATGCAAACCCAAACTTCACAGAGCAGCCTTAAGAACTCCTGATGCTAGGACTGCTGAAATTAATTTAGTGTCCCAGCTTATTTCCCGAGTATAAGTGTACAGTTTCTGTTGGTCAGCTCTCATGAAGTCAGTAGGAGTTTTGAAGCACATTCCATTGCTACTTTCCATTATCCATGGGTGTTTCTCCACTGGCAGATAAGCTGCATCCCCAGCCCGAGCCAGCTGAGCCAGCTCCATGCAGCTCTGCTGGGCCAGGGCTTCAGCTCAGACCTGACACATGGCTCTGGGCGACCACAGGCCGGCTGCTCCATCAGCTGTGAGGTCAGAAGAAATTCCAGAAGACTGGGAAGGGGAAAAGGAGGACGGCAGATAGCAGTAACCGAGCTGTGTGCAAAGTGTATTTCTAAGCCTTAGAAAAGCAGTTAGATGTGAGATGTGCACGTGAGAATTCACTCTTCACTCAATTCAGTATTGGTTGTGTTTATTTTTAAACTGGAAGAAAAGGATAAAATGCAGAAAACATCTGTTGCCCAAATACCCAAAGTTGATCCTGAACAGCTCTAATATATACAGTTCTGGCTTGATAAAGGACACCACGTGCACTGCGTATATACATTTGTACATACACAGCACATATTGTATGGCAGCTTATCTGTGGGATGGAGTCTTGGAGCCCTGTCAGGTCAAGGCGGGATGCAACTACAAAACTTTTTTGGAGCAATTGAAAGAAGAGATCTTATTGATAAGTAATCCAAAGGAAAGGGTGTTAACAAATACTTGGAGTATGTGCAGGCAAGGATAAAAAAATAGTAAGCATGGAAAAAAGAGAAGCTCAAACCGAGGACATAAAATAGGTCCCTTTACTTAAATCTTTCTACTTCCAAGCAATGAATCTGTGTTCATGGAGCTCTGCACCTCTTAGTCTCCTGTCCCCTCACTTTCTGTGAGTTTATGTGGTGAAGGAACTGTCTCTATCCATGCAGCACATATGTAACTTTCATGAGTGGCACAAACAGCCTTACTCCTGTCCCTCAACAACAGCACTATAATACTTTCTTCCTTCTGGACTTCTGTGTGCCACAGGATTTCCCAAATATGCATAACTGCTCTGAAAATATCAACCCACTGCTAGCAAATGTTCAAATGAGACAGGCACCCAGAAATGCCTGGGCTAACACATCCTGGCTTCTGTTGTATTTTACTGAGCATACAGAAGCATTGTGTTGTTCCCCATTGAATTCAGAGCTGAATTGCCAGGTCTGCATTGAGGTTCGTTTTAAGTCCAGATCTGGCACTTCTGTATCTCAGTGATGTACAGCTGCTGACACCAGTGCCTTCTCAAACCAAACTGTGTGCTAAAAGAGAAATACACCAGTGAGTGCAGCTCTCCTTCCAGCACTGTGCAAGTTCACCCCGCAGGGCTGGCACGAAGCTGATTGGGATGTGCCTCGCAGGCAGTCACACACGGGCTCTGTCTGGCCATAGCTTTGCTCTACAAAGCTGCAGGCGGCTTCAGTATCAATTCTGAAATTGCCTGTGAGGAACCAGCTTGCAGTTCTGGTCAAACACACCCAGGTCTCCAGACACTGAAGGCAGCCTGGGATTCTTTAGCCACGTCACCGGCAGCTCCTGGGGGCATGTTCTGCAAAGCACTGTTGAGCTACAGCAGTCTTCTATCTCCCGTGCGGGCATGGAGAGACAC